ACTTTTCCAGACTAAAATACACGAGGCGATGCGCATCTCGTATATGAGGCCAGACTTTTACCACCGTGAGCAGGTCTAGCTTTTCGAGGCGTTTCATTGGCGCTGCCCTTCTTTTCCTCGCTCTAGTCTGCCAGCTTGATTTTAACAAGCTCGTTTTTCTCAACACCATGGTATAGCATATTATTAATAACCCGAACAATAAGGCCCTAAGTTGATCCTGAAGATGTCACATTTTCCTCCTAGGTAGGCTTTCTAATATGATGACGCGATGGTGCTATTCAGCTTTCGCTTACAAATGCTGCACCGCAAAGTCCTAAGCACCTATAGGGGAGTGAGTGGTGCAAGTATTGCTTATTCCAACGTCACAGGGCCAAAATAGCTCAGTTCTAACCTTTTGAAGCTATTCAATGCTGTAATAATGGCAATGTTAAAGGAATAACACTATGTTGCTAAATTTTTAGAAAGGAAAAAAAAAGATATTCAAACATAATACTTCAGGATTACAGCTGCAGGTCTAGGTATTGAGGTGAGTACAACAAGGTAATACAAACTAGTTATTATATTTCCCTAACACTAAAGCACAACATCTGTAACAGTCAGGTAGGTAGTTATAAGGGCTCAACATCGAACGCCATACAGCTAACTGCGGCTACTACATGTCTAGGAGGATTAGTGCTGGTGGAGCGCCGCCGGGTAAGGTAAGTACCTAGTGGGAGCTATCTAGGAGATAATTTAGTATAGAGATTAGCGAGAAGCTAGTCCTAGTCTGAACTAGCCAGCCTTTATAACCTGGCACGGCTAGAGGAAGATGGCTACTTGTATGACGGCCATTACACGTCTTGATATCGCATTCTTTTACTTAGTCGTTGATATATTTAGTGGAAGGTATAGGGGCAGCTTGTCTGTGTCCCGGCACTCGTCCTATAACAGACGTATGATCGAATTACAATATTCCAGGGTGCCAAGTGTTCGTTAATCTCTCGGAAGCCTTTTAAGCACAGGGTCTAAACTCTACATTTATATATACAACTTTATCGTCTTTCGGTAATTAGTGTACGAAAGCTGCCGTTATGTCTGGATTATTAGAAGCTAGGGAAAATATTATGCCTAGATAGAGCTTGAAACCTTCATTGCTTACCGTAGAACCCCCGTTCGGCACACTCCCTTCGCGTATCTAGGTAATCCTTCCGCGTTGCGGATACGCGTTGCGGATACCTTTCGTCTCCACAATTCCCGGAATTCCGTTACTGTTTACCTAGTGTACCATTCACTATTGTTATTGGCACCGGTGACTTTGACTGTTCAAGGGTCCATTTATATGTTTCCCATTGGCTATAATATCCCGATATGCATCGGTCTTGTTGGCAGGTTCCCCTGCAACAATCTGGAGAGGGTGTATTCAAACCATCCGTGTCTGATTCAGCTTACAAATACGGAAAGTCGTTCCACCGTAAAAGCCCTGAGAGAGCGGTACATGCAGCGACGTGTTTTGGAAAGAGCAGAATTCAAATGAAGAGCTATTGCAGCGTAGCATATTTACGCATATGTGATCTGTGATCCTCTCCTTTGGGGGTTGAATGGAACTTGTCAGCTTTTAGGGGTTGTAGGCTAAACCTAACTTGGTATGTAAACGGGTGGGCTCGCTCCCCGATACACTAGTTAAATCGGGAAGTGTACTGTTAGCTGTTGCTAACACACAATACATCTTACGATACCGCATTTTTTGAGGCGTCAATTTTTTATAGAGGGGGAACCCTTGTTCGCGGCTCTGTTCAGCCTCGTCTCTTGCTCCTTGTTTCATTAACAGAGCCAACCTTCGAGTGAACACTGGGGACATAATTACTACCAAATGTGGTGAGAAGCAAAACGAAGCATCCGTTCTAAGACCAAAGAGTCTTCTACGCAATTTCATAAGTCAGAGCAGAAATCTCCGGTGGCGCGGAACTGGATGTTCATGGCGGTGGAACAGCAAGCGTTCATACCCTCTCGTAGGGTAGATGCATGATGTAGGACTTAGACATGGATGAATACTGAGACTTGAGTACCACTACTTAAATTGCCCTATAGAACAGCACACCAGATGGGGAGTGCGGTCCCACTTATCTAATATCTTAACCCTCCGTCTTGCATACATGGGGTCTTGACACAACACTTGACACGAGTAGGTAGCGCCTACCTTTACCCTTACACGAAAGCCGCAGCTTACAAATCGGGTAATAACAGCACCGTTGGCCGTTGATGTAGCTAGGGAACTCTTTAAAAGGCAGGTGCCCTCCAACCTTTGAGTCCTCCTCATCAGTCTAGCTCACGCCACTCACATTGCAACATACTATCCGCCGCTCGCAACATCTCTTACCACCCTCTTCGTCAATTCTAACTGAAGCAACCAACCCTCAATATGGCTCCCTTCGGCAAGATCTACTCCTACGTCAACAACCCTCGTCTCAATCGGGTGAGCACCATTAGTTTGATTTTTTCTTCTACGTGGGTGTGTACTGACGAGGCGACCTAGGTGTTGATAGCGGCTGATATGAACGGCCTGGAGATAGAAGTCCCGCCATTCACCATGCGTGAGACCAACCGGACCCCTGAATTCCTTGCCAAATTCGCACTCGGAAAGATCCCAACCTTCGAGGGCGCCGATGGCTTTTGCCTGAGCGAGAGTACTGCCATCGCTTCCTACATAGCACAGTCTGGCCCGAAAGCTGGTCAACTTCTTGGCACGGGTATGCTCTTCGCTGTTGTATAGTCGACAACAAGACTAAATTCTCCGTATACTAGATGCCAAAACTCAAGCCCTCATCGCACAGTGGACGTCTTTCAGCGAGGGCGAGATATTCTTCAATACCAATACGCCAGTCGGTATGGTGGTTAGTAAGTGACACACTTTCATTGTCATCAACTGTTTGTCTCGTTGAATAACTGAGTACTCATATCGCACGCTACTAGTAAAATACATACCTTACAATGAAATGGCCTTTGATCTCAATATTGCTGGCTTGGAGCGAGATCTCAAGTACCTCGAAGGGGTGCTACAGGGTGGCAAGAAGTACATCATTGGGGATAAACTGACGATGGCCGACTTGATGGTAACAAGCTTTCTATATCCTGCCTACAAGTATCTGGTTGATGCCGAGATGCGCAAAGGCATTCCAAACGTCAATGCTTACATCCAAGCCTTCGCTGCCCTTCCGGAGCACAAGAAGTACTACGGTGAGCTCGAGATGTGCGAGACTCGCCTAGCCAACAAATTGTAAAGGCTACGTTATGGCCTGGATTCAAAGCAGCCAAAAAATTGATGCAGAGATAGAAAATTCCTACTTTTTATTCTAGCAAATATATCTTATCTCTAGGTGCTATCGTATTTGCAATGCTCTTCATCAAAATATGTCAGTCGATGGCCTAATATATAGATATATACACACATGACGTCCCGTTTAACATTTCCGTTTATTATAAACGTCCGTGTCTCAAAAGATGTCACTAAACTTTTTCTTGTATCTCGCATCACTCTATTTTATTCGAAGTAGGCAGCCACAGCTAGATTAGTTGCACTAGCATCTCGATATAAATGCTTTTATGTCATGAAATGTTCTATCAAGGGCAGCTTTAATAAACTATCAACATTCAGTCGCCCGTGTTTGGAATATATTTCTCGAGCGTTAGGACACAAGAATGGTATAGACTCCGTCGTTTTATGATTACCGTGGTAGTATTGTCGATTGAGGTTAGGCGACGACTAACCGTCTGAGATGACTCAGGACACTGACGGAAAGGGAACCCGATGACTACTTTTTACCGGGAGAAAAGGAAACGTGATAGATTTCGATACAAGCTACTATGGACTCCATCTTGTTATCCTAGGCGAGCTCGCTAAGTATTAATATGATTTTTAACTAGGTAAGCTTTCATGTCACGTACAATTTGCTTAACTAATCTTGCAAGGCCATAACTGGACTTATCAATATTTCTTCGAACTATGTCCCTGTTTTCATTTTAGCCCTCCTTTCCCGTAAGATCTATCTATTCTTAGTCGCGACAGGAACTAGTGATTCTTTCGCGAATCCTGATTTAAGCAATGGTATAGTTAATCAAAGGAGAGTTTGGTTATCTTTCCTTTAATTTTGGTAGAACCTAGCTGTCCTAAGCAACTGAGCGCTTAGTCTGTTCAGGGGTTTCCCAGCAACACAGCAATCAGAGCTTCTATACTCCATATCGGAAACAGTCATAATCTGTAGAGTGTAAATGTCTCTGCGCGAAGATCTGAAAGTAAGTTAAGTTAATGTGCTTACCTTAGATTGAGATATAAATTACTGCTTTATTTCGTAGTATCTCAATCAACACGTTACATTCATTCTATGAGCGCCACGTAGTTTGGAAAGTCAAGTATAACACAACACCTGTTCTGCTTGACCAGTAAATCTGCGTCGTTATTGCCAAAATGCTTCAGATTCATCACTTAGCTCAATTGACCAGCCCAGGAGATTCTTGATGTTAGGCTTCATCTCAAGCCTGCCGGTGAGTAGCATATTTAGTAGCTAATTTTTCATATATTTTCTTTGATCTTGTTGACCTGATAATTAAATCTAGCCAATTAATTAGACAATTTCTTTTTAAAATAAAATTCATCTGCTTATATGGCCTAAGTAGTAGGCATAGTTGCTCTTTAAAATAAGTGACCTGCGCCCACTGTGAGGGGTACTAGATCGGTAATTCAGTCTTAGCGCACACGCACACAACGAATCAACTTAGAATCTACTTGATAAAACCCTGCCGCCCATACTGACTCACACTCCACAACCTTGCAAGCACACCGCACTACTGCGAAGCAATCCGTTCATTAACCTACTCCGGGCGACCATTGGCATCATCTCATCAAGAGTAGGCAACGTGGCTGAGTGGTTAAAGCGTATGACTAGAAATCATATCCCTTCGGGGTCACAGGTTCGAGTCCTGTCGTTGTCGGGCGGCCAAACAAGCGTGTTGCTTTGGGTGGTTTAGGTCTGGTGGTCTAGTGGTATGATTCTCGCTTAGGGTTCACCTTAAAGTATGAAAGCTTGGCTTGCGAGAGGTCCCGGGTTCAATCCCCGGCCAGACCCGGTATTTTTTTTCTTCTATTTCCCTCCTGATTCCCACTCACATTTTATATGTAATATCTTTTTAAATTATATAATGACCTCAAGTTGAACTGCTTGTAGCTAGCGCTGTCGCGGAAGTCGCTAAATAACCAATCCACACAAGCATCGTACAGGATCCCAGTGTAGTAGATTCGTGATGCAGGAGGCGTCGGATACCGATAGCTTGATGCGAGGCCAGCATAGTATCTATCACTCATAAACTTGATAGATAATCATATTAATTCAAGGATGAATTGATAATACACAATGTGGAGACTTTCGGCCCTAGCACAAATGCGCCCTTCGACGACATATTCTAAGCCCGGTCCCGGAACGAGATCATATTCCTACGAATCTCATTCACTCTCCAGAACTGGTCAACTATACGCGATGGACCAACAATCATTACTACTACACTAAGCCCTACGTCACGCCTTGGACAACTAACAGGCACTCACGATGGCCCCGTCGCAAACCTATTGGGTTATAGTCGCACTGGAGACGTTCTTCTGCCCGCTGCCCAATTTCACTCTCCCAGCCCCTCACACCTGCGAATTCCGGAACTACGAGCGCACAAGACCGGACCAGATAGCGGAGAGGGTTCAGGATGCCGACATTGTAATCATGTCAGTCCTGCCGTTAACGGCGGACGTTCTCAGTGCAGAGGTGACCCCGAGGCTAAAAAGTATGAATATCTACCTACCAGCCTGCCTGCTTAATTGCTTGCTCTTGTGAAGAAAGCATCCGAAAAGGCGTGTAATGTGGACCGCAACTACTAACTGTAATCATCATGTAGTGGTGTCTGTAATCGCCTCGGGCACAGACCCCGTGGACTTGGCAGCGTGCCGAGCACGCGGGATAGTCGTCGGTAACACACCGCACTGCAACGTCAACACCGTCACGGAGCACGTGCTCGCGCTGTACTTCGCGACGCGCCGCTCCGTCATGCTCACGAATTCGCTGACGCGTACCGGTGACTGGGCTACCAAGGGCTCGCAGCATAGCACCATGAACGGGCCCGACGGCAAGCCGCCGCGGACGTGTCGCGACGAGGTCCTCGGGATCATCGGCTACGGCGCAATCGGGAGGAACATCGAGGTGACGGTCAGAACGCTGGGCATGAAGACCCTCATCGCAGGACGCAAGGGCGCTCCGGCGCCAGAGGGCCGCGTCCCGTTCGAGACCGTCATCCGCGAGTCCTCGGTGCTCATCGTCTGCCTGCCGCGCTCTCCCGAGACGCTCAACCTCATCTCCGAGGCTGAGTTCAGCCAGATGAAGCCGTACGGCGTGCTGATCAATGTTTCGCGGGGCGGGATCGTGGATGAGAAGGCTCTCGTCTCTGCGCTGAGGGAAGGGAAGATTGCTGGTGCTGGCACCGATGTCTACTCCCAGGAGCCAGCGGAACCGGCTAGTAATGTTCTGCTCGCCGCAGATGCGGCGGGCCTCAATTTAGTGACGACGCCGCATGTGGCTTGGTATTCGGAGGAAACCTTTGATAACTATACTCGGACGTGCAGAGCGAATATTGACGGGTTTGTGACGGCTGGGAAGCCTGAGTACCGCGTTTGCTAGTATTAGACAATTTGGGGGGCGGAGAAGGGAATGATCATTATCTACGATGCGACCTGATCACCTGCCAAAGACGACGACAGTGACGATAGACGTATTATGACTTATCTAGACTTCGATGAGCACTTTTTATTAGACCGATATCGATTTTATTTGACCTTGAATGACGCTTGCGTTCCGAATGATTACCTGTATGATAGATTGACGTAAAAGCATTTCTTGTACAAGATGGGTATAAACTCCGACACGGTTGCTACTGCGACTTGTTTCAAGGCTTGTCTAGTTGCCTGCCCGCTCGCTTCTCTGTAGTACTACCTACCTCGATGCGTTGCATAATCGGTTGGAGCTTCTACCCCGACCACCTACGAATGAGAGGTCTAGGGCTGCTGTTTTGCGGGCGCAAAACCAGATCAGGGGATCGTGTCGTCATTTTTGGGATGCCCCTGTGCCGGTGGGAACCAATCAAATCGTGCCATTTCAGAGTGGTAGCCCCAAAACGGCAATGAACGACTTCGGGTTCAAAACAGGGTGAGCGAACTTGGTACTTTTGCCACAGTCCGGGGTAGATTTAATTGTCTAACGTGTTGTGTAATGTGGTAAATCTGAGAGATTCACCGATTGAGCAGGCGTGACACTATGATGTAGTTGAGCCAGGGACTCATTCCCCCCCCAATTGGAAATCTATTAAGGGCAGAGTTATGGGTATTATCAACATCAATAGCTAGTGCACTGCCCAGTTTTTGAATACAGTCCCCAGTTGATTGTTGATGGTAATAGATTGGTCATGAGAAGACAATTAGGTGGCGACCATTGAGGGCCCTGCCAATGGTTTAAATTCCCTTGCAGAGTATAGAATTATTAAAAGGCTCGCTGTGACCTCATCTGTCTCACGCCACCCTTTCCCACCTTTGCATCACGCGCCACAGCGCGAAGCGCAAGCAACTTGGATGGAGAAATGACAACTATTCAGATATGCACTAACGTATCTTCTCGTTATGAAATCCACCCGAGCTCGACATAGCACATCTGATCTGGGCGAACAGCGTCTTAGATTCGAACGACCGCGTTTCAACTCGCACATCACATCCGACAGACTAGCAGAAAGTTCGCGATCCATGGCGTTTCTTAGCAGTGGTAAAATCAAAAAGGGGAGGAAGTCGGTGTTCCAAGAAATTGGGTTAGACGACGATGATAGGGAGAACGAATACTCGGCCGGTAGGCAGAGCTTCGAGGAGAAGCAATTAGACGAGACCAGGAGGCCGGTGTCAGAATCAGAACCCGAACGTAAAGATTCTGTTGGAGGGGAACCGACTCGGGAAAAATCCCAATGGCTCTCGAAGTTGATACCCGAAAGACGACCGAAGATCAAGCCAGCCGCGACTGCGCCCCCAGCTCCAATGGGGGGAATTCACAGATTTGCCCTGATCGCTTTCCTCATCGCGGTCGTTCTTCCTGCGATAAGCTATAATAATGGCCGTCACAAGGTCAAAATGAACGGCGCAGATGCGGGCATGATTCGGGAACCAATTATTACATCTGCACTAGAAGATCGTGCGGATAGCTCAACGAATGTGTGCAAGAGGTGGGCAGGGCAAAGTAAGTACTGACGGACACGATAAGTATGGATCAAGTAGGTGCTGATAATAATAGGCGCTGTACTGAATGGTACGCTTTATTATTATGGTGGTCGAGCGAAAACGAGTGCCAACCAGACTGCCAATACATGGAGTATGTATCTGCACGATTCAACACCAAACCCTACCACTAACAAAGGCTAGCCAACGACTTCATCACGGTGGATCTGACAAAATCATGGGATGTTCAATCTCCGGCTGTGAGCGAGATGCCTCAACCCTCCGGGCCACCAGCTGTGTCGCTCGGATATCTCTGGAACGACCTCGACCACCTGTATCTGTATGGAGGCGAGTTCGATTTTCCATCATCCGAGCCACTGCCCGTCTCAACGTGGATGTACGACATAGCCTCGTCTACCTGGACTGAATTTAAAGACCTAAAAACGTCTGCTGGCCAATATTCCGACGCAGGTGGTGCGTCCGTACAGCGGGCCGCCGAAGGAGCTGGCGTGTCAGTCCCTGAATTGGGTCTGAGTTGGTACTTTGGAGGTCACCTTGACTGGGCGACGACGCCTGGGTGGTCGAACCAGATCCCGCGAGTGTACCTCAAGAGTCTGCTCGAGTTCACGCATCCCGGCTACTCCAACGTCCAAGTCACGTCGCTCCAAAGCTCCGGCGCACCGGCCAGCGGCGCATTCCGTAATATCACGTGGGCTGGAGAACAGAACCAAGACGGGTTCGCGGAACGTGCGGACGGCGTCCTTGTGTACGTGCCCGGCTGGGGTCCAGGTGGAATCCTGCTGGGTCTGGGCGGCGGCGTGGTGGGGGGTAACGGCACGACGGACGCCTTCTCGTCCATGACCACGATCGACGTGTACGATATCGCCAGTAGTCAGTGGTACCACCAGGAGACGTCCGGCGATAACAAGCCCCAAGTGCGCGTCAATCCCTGTGCCGTTGTCTTTTCGGCGCCGGACGCAAGCTCCTTCAACATCTATATGTACGGAGGACAGAATCTGCTACCGGTGGGACAACAGGTCAGTAGTACCCTGGGAGTATCTTCCCCGTTCGATGCGTCTCGGCAGCATGATGTGTCTAACCGAGTGTTTGCTGCTCTTACCACCTCTGCAAGCTCCCGGAACCCTTGGTATTGCTTACCATGAACGGCAATTGCTGATTCTAAATTCCTACAGACGCAGTACACCGACATATGGATCCTGACGATCCCGTCATTCACGTGGATCAAAATCGACACATCAGGCAACGAGCCGCCCGCTCGCGCAGGACACTCCTGCGCAGCTCGGGACGGACAGATTGTGGTTGTTGGCGGGGTGAGTAGTCCCCCAAGCTCTTTTAGTTCCCTTTAGCCCACATATCATGCTTGAAATGGCAATCACTGACCCTTGATATTGCAGTATATCGGGGAACAAATCCCGTGCGAACAACCCGGCATATACGCCTTTGACGCATCGAACCTCGCCTGGCAAACCTCATTCAAAGCCGCGGACCATCCGGCAGACGACAGCGCAGACAACACGGTTCTCGCAGGCAGCTACGGCTACCGCGTGCCCGGCGCCGTACAGTCGGTGGTGGGCGGGTCATCGGACGGTGGCGCCACGGCCACACAGCCGGCCTCGGGCCCCGCAACAGACGGCCCGTTCAAGACGGGCGTGCCCCCGGTCTTCACGGTGACGGGGACGGGGACGGGCGCCACGGCAACCGTGACGAACCCCGGAGGCGGGGGGAACGCAGGCTCGTCAGAGAGCAGCGACGCCCATCGCGGCGGCACCATAGCCGCGGGCGTGATTGCGGGGTCGGCGGGCCTGCTGGCGCTCTACC